TATACAATCTATCTTAGGTCAATTTGGTATTAATATTAAAATCCTTAAAACAACTCAGAAGCCTTCAAAAAAAATGCCAATTCAAACTGACAAAGCTTTATCCTAAAGAAGTAAATAAAATTGCAAGGACAGATATAACTACAACCATGTTTACTCTAAGTATATTGATACTGGACAACAAGGCAAATTTTAGTATACCTAACCTATAAAAGACAATGAAATTTGCAACTCAACCATAGTAAGATTATTAAAAAATATATTAAAAGATGATAATTTACTGCTAAATTTTATAAGACAATCACAGACATTACAGATACAGACAAACAAAAACACTGTATGTTTCTATGCTTAAGAGTTACCACTGGATGACAGATTATGGTAATATTTATTTTCATTTTGCTTTTCTGCTTTTCCCAATTTCTACAATGAAACACATTAACTTTATTACAAAAGCACTTTTTAAAATATGTAGCTGAAACCCCTAGAAGGAATACAAAAATCTAAATACTAGGTGAGTTTTTCCCCCCCTAAACTTTCTCTGCTTTGGCTAAATTATTTCTTTGAAACAAAATTCGTGTAACAAAAATGCACTATTTTTCTCAAAAAAAAAAAAAATGCACTATTTTTATAAGTGTATAACTCAGTGGGTTTTCTGTATTCACAATGTTGTGCAATCATCATTGGTTAAATTACTTTTATTACTAAAAGAAAAATAAAAATACAGAGCTCAGGGCAGGAAATTCTGAAGTATTAAAGCATTTCAAGTATTCAACATATCTTAATGTCAGAATTAAGCATAATTCCACTAAATGTCCAATAACCTAGATATAAAATGGCCAATACTACTTTTCAATTTCTTCAACTAACTAACTAAAGTAATATAAACACCAACAATAAGTTGGGGGGAAATTATCTATGACAATCATTGTTTATTCTGTAACTCATTAAATACCTCCTAAACTTTACTAGTAAGTCATACATAAAATACACATTATGATAAACTCTGAATCCCCAAAATGGCTAAACCACCATGTTCTAAGCTCTTTCTGCCAAAAAAAAAAAAAAAGGCCAGTGCTACTAAAGACATTGGATATAGGTCAACTAAATTATGAAAATTAAAAAAAAAAACCTCTGCTATAAAAATTTTGCAAAGCTTAGTATTATAAAAATGATTAAGCTGAATTTTATCTTCAAAAAATCCAAAGTAACAGATTTAATGCCACTTTCAAAATATTTTCTGGTCAGATAAAGCACTCTACTTTAGTTCTACCCCTTTGAAGATTCTAGTAAAATCAGGAATTTAACATTTTATTGTCAGAGCATGCTTTTTTTTAAGTGAAATCACTCAGTCATGCCTGACTCTGCGAGCCCATGGACTGCAACATGCCAGGCTCCTTCATCCGTGGGATTTTCCAAGCAAGAATACTGGAGTGGGTTGCAATTCCATCTCAGAGCATAGGCAAGTCTAATTAAGAAGCACACAAAGAACTGTCAAGTTCTGAGCCCAAATAGGTTTGACGCTTTGCTACATTAAAGACCTAACTATCTTCATTATTTAATATTGCTGACGCTGGGTTTTAAACTAAATTTTCAAATAAAGATTCAAAATCAGGAATTCCAATCTCTTCATCCTGGAGGCAATCAAGGACTTTAAAATCTACGCTAGCCTACCCTTCCAGCCTTATTTCCAACTATTACAAAGTGAACTCTTCAGGATAGGATCCTAAAATCAATGTACAATGCCAATTAATCTTAAATTGCCCTGTGCTCCTCCATATCATCTATAAAGCACAATTACATATAACCTGACAACTAGTTTTCTTCCTGCACTGAAACAGATATATTTTTCTTGAGCACTTAAAAAGTAACTAGTTTATATTAAGGCACCTAGACTAACTGAGCAAGGTGAGATGCACAAACTATGAAAGTATGTGGAAGCTGAAATGACTAGGGGAATAGAAAATTCACCTCTCCCACTTCATGCTGACCCTAGGACAGAAATTAATTCCAGTAGAATGGCAGAAAAAAACTGCTTGCATTATTTAAATTATCTACAATTCTCATTCTTTTTCTGTCTGCCCTTCTTTGTCTCTTTAATTTTTTTAGGGAAAACAGAATATCTAGTTGAAATCATATAAGTTCAAAGCATAATGGATGCACTATATCCAGTATTTCCAAATGAGCCTCTGCATAGTGCTTAAGAACACACCAGACAGAGATAGACTGGGTTTGGTTCTGGCATCTGATAGCAGTGTCACCATGGGCAAGTAACTAATATCTCCACGCCTCAGTTTTTGCATCTTTAAAATAGAGAAAACAATAATACTTATAAGATTACTGTTAAGGACTGTATGAGTTACAGAAATAAAGTGTCAATACTTTATGTACTTGAAATATTGCCTGACACATAATGTTATGTAGGTGCTGATTTTTGTTGGCTATTGTTTTTCCAACTGGACTGCCCACTCAATGTCTATCCCAATTCTAGTCTTCAAAAATCTGCCCTAATACCTCTTCCTCAAATAAGGCAGTAATAATGTCCAACCAGGGATAAGCTCTCCTATACCTTTAAACATCTGTTCTTAATTTCTGTGTGACTCTACTAACTTATATTTACTTCCTGAAAATGTTATCTTTTTATGTATATTTTATATCATTATGTAAATTATAAGCTCCTTTAGGCAAGAAAAGACAGGAATACCAATATGCCTCTTTTATGCAAAAAAGTCCCTCAAGTAAATAATAAATATTGCTTATGAAGCAAAGTTAATGGATAAAGGTTTCCCAACAAAGGGTGAAGATATTTAGAAATCAACTGTTAGATATAGATTCTCAGTTTGTATCAATGTATAAATCTCACACCGAAAACTGTTCTAAGAGTCAAAGCTGCTCTGAGCATGAATCACAAAAATGAGGACTCAGTTTATAAGGAATAGCTTGTAGTCTCTAAGTCAAGAATGTTACAGCAAGGTTAACTCTAGTTTTCTATGATTTATACACAGAAATGTCAGATATGGCCTGCAGTCTGAAAAACAATGTATAAAATACTTAAAAGGTGACTTTTATGTGTCACACATTGCAACTATGTAGATGAAAAGATTCAGACCTTGTACTCAAGTCTACACAGACAGCTAATTAAACAGTAATGTTCAAGGTATGGGGGGGAGAACAGAATAATAATATTGATACCCATTCTCTTTTATTCTCATTTTTAGTCTTATCAAAGATAAAAAACAAGCTACAGTTGACAAAAGGTCTAACCGAAAAACTAGTAAGAATCAGCATCTTGTTCCCATGGTGGTAACACTGATTGAATATATCTATGACGGCATGTATTAGTTAATGGAAAAAAATACAACACTAACAATACATAGCTGCAACGTGCACAATGGCTGATTTAATTAAATAAAATGTATGTGTTAAATACAAAATGTTCAAGTGTTAATTGTGGCAACAACAAAAAAAATTAGTAAGTTACATTCAGAGATTCCATATTTCCTCTAAAAGTCAAGATCAGCTGATTATTAAATATCTTTCACCTGGAAAAAAGTCACAGCAATTTCAAACCAAATATCTGGCCTTCACTCCCAGACATTACTAAGTAGACACTCAAAAAGTCACTCTTTTAAGTTTTAATAATAAAAATTTTTTGAAAACCGTTATGGTCCTCCTTATGGACCTAGGAGTTTTTTTAACAAATTAAAAAATGACCTTTTATTTGTCTCCAGTTTGTCATTTAAGATCACTAACATTACACAGTAAATGTAAATATAATATGCAGTATTTCTTTCTGTATAACGATGTATGTTACCAACATATGAGGAGGTGTGTCCTGCATATCTGATTCACCTATCTAGACCCACACCTCTGCTCTACAGCAGCAATTTGCAAGCCAGGTGTACCATACTTTTTATTCAACCAGGGACAGGCAAGTATCAAGTTTGCAGATTTTGTACCACATTTTAACTATGAATTATTACAACACAGATACTTCCAAACAGCCACAAACTGACCCTCAGGCAAAATATTCTGGTCAGTTGATAAAATATTCTTCCCTTCAATGAAGGAGTATTTCATACCTAATTCAATAATCTAATTCAACACCAAAATAAAATACCAGGTGTGGAATATAATTAGAAAATTTTAATGCACAATACATAAAGATCCAGCATCAACTCAATTTTCTTCGTCAAGGCAATAATTCTGCCTTCCATCTTCTTAAAACAAATAGAGAAATACAATAAATTGCATCAAACTGAGGAGCCAGGTTATCAAGTCAGCCTATATGAGGTGAAAATATTATAAAGTCATTTAATCTTAACACATGGTAAAGTGTTTTTTCATATACGAATGATGTTACTAAACTACAATTAAAATAACCCCTGACAATCTCTTAAAATCGATTACAGGCAGGGAAAGGTGTTCACAGGATGAAACACACACAAGAGAAAAATGAGTGAACCAAAGAAGAAGGAGAGTCATATCTCACTTATTCCAGGGCTTACACTCAACGAATGAACTCCCAGCGTAATCACTGCATGATTATGATCCTCTACCCCATCCTTCTTTTTCAGATTTAGAGAACATATGTTTAAGTTAAACACTCAGATGATATGGCTTCAATGCACTACATGAGCCAAAAAATAAAACTATCCTAGAGTAATAAGTAATCACCAGATGCTATTTCCTTTTGAAGCATCAACTGAAGAGAACTTCTCCAGTTTTCTGTTCCACTACCCACCTCCCACTGCTTTTCAACTTCTACTTCCCTTCCCCGCAGTTTCCAAAACTGCGCCACCTACAAAAAAAGAGGCAAGAAAATACTTAAATCCCACTATGCTACCAAGTTAAATTTTAAAGTGTATCTGCATAACAACAACAAAAAAATAACATTGATTGCTGCAGTTACTTGGGCTACTGTTTTCTTAAAACATTCAGAGTTCATGAAATAGTTTGAAACTTGGATCAAAATTCAACTTTAGTGAGAAATCATATCTTACCCACAACCATAAGTGTGAATTCAAAACCTCTCTTCACTGATTTTCTGTATACTTGATTTGGGAGATTGGCAAATCCCACATAGCCTTCAAGGTTCTTCTGTTGCTGAGAAAAGTAAAAGGGGCTCAATTATTAATATGTCAACAAAATGCTTCTATCATACATTTCAAATTCTCTTCATTAACCTATTTTTAGAAAATCATACAAACTCTTAATCATGGTGACTCAAACTGATTTTATAGTATTACCAATAAAAGTATTAATCGAAGAAATGGACAAAATAAATTGAGCACAAGTTGATTAATAGTAGTCAATTATAAAAGTCTATGAGACTGTCAGATGACATCACTGACTCGATGGACATGAGTCTAAGCAAGCTCCGGGAGTTGGTGATGAACAGGGAAGCCTGGTGTGCTGCAGTCCATGGGGTTGCAAAGAGTCAGACATAACTGAGCAACTGAACTGAACTGAACTGGAGTCAATTATAAAAACCCAAGGGAATAAAATAAAAATTTAAAAAACCTGCCTCAGAGCAAAGATTTAAATTTACAGTAAGTTACTAACAGTAAGATTTTGATCAAGCAACTAAAAAAACAACAAAGGATTTTTCACAATAAAAAAATTCAAATCCCCTTAAGATTATATTCAGTTCAGTCACTCAGTCATGTTCGACTCTTTGAAGCGCCGTGGACTGCAGCATGCCAGGCTTCCCTGTTATACTATAGATTATATTATATTATTAATTATATATTTTATATTAACAATATATTATATTATTATATATTATATTACATATATTCCCTGTTATATATATAAAATCTTATATAAAATTATATTAAGGACTCTATTAATCATTCCCTTTGCTCATACTAAAAACCACAGGCAGGAGTTTCTTTAAATTCACCTTCTTATTCATGAAATAAAATAAAAATGCGGAGTTTAAAATTTTTCATAAACCCTTAAATGCTCTCATGATCAATGTCAATCAGTAAACATTATCTTTCAAACTTTTATACCAGGTCCAGTAATGTCACCTCAATGCTTTTACCGGACATCAGATTTACCCTGGTTTTAAAGTAAACTTTAATTCCGTTTTCTGTATAGCTTTTGATTCTTTGATGACCTCACCAATAATTCCATGAGTAATTCATACAAACCTACTTCTAAATTGGCATTGAAAATCAGTGTGACTTTCAACTTACCCACTGGTGAGAAATACTGTCCATAGTTCAGACCATCTGAGTGAGTAGAGTCTTACTGATTAATTTACTTAGAGGTAGGTCTTATTCATCATTAAAAAATAACGGCATTCATCATTTAAAAATAATATTCCTAAGAGATACACATTTCTCTTAAAGGTTTTTGCCACATTTAAATTCTCATCCAAAAACACTCATATTGGATCAAAGTAATAATTCAATACATTTGGATCTAACAAAGGAGTGCACCCTGAATTCCTCACTAGTATCACATATATAACTAAATATTCCATCCATAATCTTTTAACCTTTTTTAAAATTCATTTAAATTAATTTTAAGACAAATGTTGAGCAGATAAGTAAGCCAATTAAATTAGAGGCTAATTTTAAATATACTAGTTAGGACACTGATCAGAATATTTTAAAGTCAAATATTTGAAAGCCTACTATGTGCAGAGTTAAGACTATGTATTAAATTTAAAGCTTCCTTGATTCATATTTCATCCAATTGTAACTGAAATTTAACTTAGACCAGAAAAAAGCCTCTGTATTAATTATGTAGTATACTCACAGCTACTTTGTAAAGAACATGTTTCCATCATTCCAGTGTTCCAGATTCCAACAGAACAGATCCACAGAGGAACAGTAAACAAGGAATTCCAAGAATCATTCATGGCACATTCAGTCCAAACAGGGGAGAGAAATCCATTGGAACATAGTAAAATGAAGAGGGGGGAAAACAAAAGTTACTTACATGTAACTCAACAAATCAGAGATAAATTACAAATATACTGAAAGTAGACTTTTTTCTACTCACATCAACGAAATATTTTTTTGCTGGATATAAAGCCCAGTGAGTCCACTTTATCAGCTTTCCTGATAAAACATAGAATCGAAGACCTCCTATCTTTTCATAAAGGACAATCACTATGCCTTGCACCTGAAGTCTTACAAGAAATGATGAAAAAAGTGTAAGGTATGAAATTTCAAGAAGATATACAAGGACCAACTTTAAACTCCAAGAAGAAAAAAAAATGTAAATTTCATACAATTTTGCTATGTCAGTCACTGGATTAAGACAGACCAGATCAGATAAATGCCAATATTTTCGCTAGGATCTTATTACAGTATTACTATATTTCAAATAATTAAAGTTCAGAATTGGAAGAAATGCAAACCTGGGGATACAGGAAAGGAAGCTAAAGACTTCAAACAATAACAAATGGAAAGATGAAGTAAATGTGACCTATGAAAACTGAAAGGCAATGAATAGAGCACAGAGAAGAAAATAAGACTATCTTTGGACAAAATGTCTATAAAAAGGGTATGTCTTTTTTTCTATGCTGAACAAATCTATGAGTTATATCACAAGCTAGAAAAGACAGTGAGTATTCAAATGTCACCTCCACAGAGAGGACTGCTCTGTAATACCCTACCTAAAACTACAACCTACTCCTCATCTCAGCACTTTGTTGCTTTATGTTTTTTTTTTCCCTTTTAGCACCTATCACCATTTAACATACATACAAATCTTATTTATGGTGATCTCCACCCACTCTACCTCCAACTAGAACGTAAACTCCATCAAGGTACAGATTAAAGGAATTACAGAAGTTGTGACATCAAAAAGAGGAAGCTATCTGACCATCTGAGAGAATTGAAGAAGTTTCAGAGAAAATCTTTTAGGTTACATGTTCAAGAAACCCACCATACAAAAGGTGTAAGAAAAATGCCTCAGTCTACCCCTGTGTCTAATTCACTGCTTTATCGTCAAGTCACAGAACAGTCTTAGGGACAACTGGGAAACTGAAGTAAGAAAACAAGGAAAAGCATTCTAGGATAAAGCGGTGGGCCCTAAAGTGGGGGTGAACCTGGTACTTTCAGGAACAAAAAGAAAGTATATGAACTCCAAAGAAGTAAGGCAGTGGACCAGGGGACAAGTGGTAGAAAATAGGCCAGGGAGGCAGGCAGGGGCCATATAACGTGGGACCCAGTCAAAGCAGGAAATTTGAGTGTTATTTTAGGCGTGATGGGAAGCCACTGGAGGGTTTTACACAGGCAAGTGACCTGACCTGATTTGTGTTTTAAAGATAGCTCTTACTGCTAAGAGAAGAAATGGAAATAAGAAAACTGCTAAGAAGCCTACTACAGTAGTTGAAGAAAGAAAGGGTATACTGAATTTAGATGGTGTGGATGTAAAGAGATGGAAAGCTTCAGAACAGGTTTTGAAGGAAGAATTGTCAGGACACTTCTGGTGCATTACATGTGATTGGTAAAAGATACAAAAGATAACTCTCACTACTTGACTTGAACAACTCAATGGCTAGTGATAGCTCCACAGAAAGAGGCGACAAAGAGGAGGAAAAGAGTGAATGGTGAGGGCCAAAATCAAAAAAAGCTTTGAATGTGTTGAAGACTCTATTACATATTTAAGAAGAAATGGTCATAGGCAATTTAACATATGAATTCAGAAATTCCAGGGTTGGTTGTTGCTGAAAAAAACAGATTTAGGAAACATAAGCATATAGATAGTACTGGGAGAGGATTACATTCTCAAAGAGAGATAGATGAAAGGGGTTCAAGGCAGTTTTCTGGGGCTTCCCTGCTGGCTTAAGAATCCACCTGCAATGCAAGAGACCAGAGGGTTCGATCCCTGGGCTGGGAAGATCCCCCTTGGGGAGGACATTGCAACCCACTCCAGTAATCTTGCCTGGAGAATCCCCATGGAAAGAAGAGTTTAGTGGGCTACAGTCCATGGGGTCACAAAGAGTTGGACACGACTGAGCGACCGAGCACAGCACAGCACACAGGCAGCTTCCCAGAGCACTCCGACACAGAGACGCCAGGCAGAAAAAGAGTGAGATCAGTCAGTGAGGAGGAAAGGAAACTAGAGCTGGCTCCAGGTCATTCAACTGTGTTAAATGCTACTGACAAGTCAAATGAAAAATACCAGAGATGTGACCATAAAATTTGGAAATAAGATTACTGGTAATTCTACACAAGAGCAGTCTCAGTAACACAGTGAGGAAGAAGATTGACTAGTTTGAGAGTAGATAATTCTCTGTATATGTTAACTAATATAATTTTAAAAATAATTACATTTTAAATTATTTTAAAATTAAGCATGTCATTTGCCAGTTTGCCCATATGACTGATTTCCCTGAGGAAGACAATCATGTCATATTCATCTCTACATTCCTAACAGAGTGCTGATATACAGGACTTGTTTAAAAAAATAAACAAAAATACACTCTCAGGAAAATTTCTCCTGAGAAAGAGACTGTCTAAACACAAAGGACAGATTTAGGGAATATACTAAAATATAACATTGGTTGACTAAAACACATAAACTTTTCACATTTCATAAGAATCTTGCCTTCCCCAAATTCTAAAATCAACCACAGTCTGTAATTCAGAAGATTTAACCACCCACTGATTCTTTTTCTGGACAAATATAATGCTCACAGTGCCAGTGTGAAATATAATCTCTGGATAAAGAAACATTATTTATAGACCCGAGTGATGTAACTGTGACACTTATAAGCATGCAAATGTAGATAAAAGTATATTCACTCAGGCTTCACTCAAAATATCTTAAGAGTATTACTTGATTTCAATCATCAGTTATGTAAAAAGAAACAGTTATCAAATCATATTCTCTAAAAGCACATGATGAATCTTTCGGTAACTATCTAAAAGATATGCCAAATCTCTATGTCAAATTCACATTTAAGAAAATCAAACTACAATTCCATTGCTTGCTATTTCACTACCTGTCGAAAAACCAACTTCAATACGCAGTAATTGCAGTGATTAACTTACTTAAACTTACTTCTAGAAATCAATTATATTCAAAGAACAAGATGCCTCAAAAAGGTTTCAATAATAGATTATTGGAAC